GTGGTTGGGGACCGCTGATCTAAGGCATCATTAGGATGTAAAGTATAATATAAATGAGTTTGTAATTCATTCGTCTAAGCTTGTAACCAGCAGGTCTCTGTGATTCTAGACTTTACACATTGTCTGCTTACCGATCAGCAAAATCTTTCTTTGACTTCCTGTTCTCACCTCTCTCGGATTCTTTTACTAAAAACATTAGTCAGTTACATGTGCACATACCTGCACATGTGTGTTGGCGATATCACTACTTTCTCTCTCCTCTCTCGCTCGTGTTCGCACACACGTTACACACTTCCTGTGAAACTGCCTCAGTGTGAGCGGCTTTCTTCTCTCTTCTCATTCTGCTCACTGCCTCCGAGCGCTGTGCACTGACCTCTCTCTGCTCACCTCCGTCATCCCGTCGTTTCCCACCACGAACCTGGACTGAGCTCTTTCATGGCCCCTGCGCGCTCTCCGCGGGAACTCAGAGAGCGAGAGGAGCCGTTCTTGGAAATGAGCCTGTTTTGAGAAAGCAGAAGTTGCTGAGAGGTGTTTTGGCTCGTTCATGTCAGTCGGTTGTCTGCTGGCTTCTCTTCACCATGGCAGCAGCTCTGCCTGCGTGCTACCACGGCGCCATGACTAAGAAGGAGTGCGAGGATTTGCTGGGAAAGAAGAACAAGGATGGAGCTTACCTGATCCGAGACAGCGAGACCATCCAGGGAGCCATGTGTCTTTGTGTCTAGTAAGTACACCAGACTTCTCTTTATCAAAACTTCTTTCTTTTAACAGCTTCATAGGTAAAGACACTCGATGGTATCATTAGAATATGAAGCCTAATATAGAATATGGCATCATTCATAGCAGGTTGTCAGACAGGCTAACCTTGTAACATCCTGGTGCTTCTGTGAGTATTTGTGGTTCTGACTTTTTAAGTTAAATCACTTTAATTCTGAGAAGAGCGCGATGAGGAAAAGAGGAGTCTAATGTGACTTTGGTTCAGGAGGACTAAACTATTTAAAAGTCCCTCAAATCAAATTCAAACCTCTCTTTCTGTCTCTGAAAACCTCATAAGGATGTGAAGCTTTTAGGCAGTGAGGAATGAGGTGAACATAGTGACCTAAAATCCTCTGTAGCGAGCATAAAGGGGAAGGAGAGCATGTTAATATAATAAACCAGGGAATTTAGTTTTAATGAGCTTTGTTAAGAAAGGCCGTTGAATAAAAGCAATAATGGAAAAACGTAACCAGATCTTTTTTGCTGATGCAGCAGTGTGCACGCAGGTTTTGACAGCGGGGAGCATTTAGTAATTATATGAATTATATTAGAGGCAAAAGATGTTCCGTTGATCTAAGCAGATTATTCTCTATAAAAATCACGATAAGAACGTTTTTGCGTGGGTATTATTACTCTAGGAAGTGAACACCTACACAAATACCACAATTTGTGGTCAAGTAAGGTTCCACTCCAGCTCGCTGCTGCTTCTGCATCTTTTTTCCATGACCTGCTCGTCGTGTTTACATACAAGTAAAAAGTACATTAAAATTTGCATAACTTTTTTTTGTGCACTGCCAACGTTTTCTGTTTGTGTATTAGTTGTTAAGGAAGCTGACAGTGATGCTTATTACTGATAAGAAGATTCAAACTAAGAAAATTGAGTCATGTGACCATGTGTTCTTCTTCCTCTTTTATTTTGTGTGAACAAACAAAGTCAGAATTTTGTTGCATAAAATGTTTTTTACACACGTCCTTAACCTTACTTCTTCTATGGTCCTCTAACAGCAGCATAAATCTCCTTTTCTTTCAGTAAACAGAAGGTGGTGTACACCTACAGACTGCTGCAGTCACACAATGGATACTACACCCTCCTGGTAAAAGAACACACACACAAATGACCACATGCAGAAACATTTGCAGGTCCTTGAATTCAGAATGATTCCTTGTTCTGTGTTTGCAGTAAACTGAGACTCTAAATGCTCTTTCCCAGCGATCACGCTGCAGGATTTTAAATCAAGCGGTAAAATATTTACTCTTAGAAGCAGAAGAGTCTTTTCT